TGATGATGGGAAATCTGGCATCAATTCAGAGTGATGGCTGCACAGCATGATTAATGGAATTCGTGTGACTAATCTATACACCTGAAAAAGGTTGAATTGGCAAATGTTGTGTTATATATAGTTCTAAAAAAAAAAAAAGCAGCTTCGAATACTGTCTATGTATCAACAAACACGTCGTAAGATTTGTTTTCTTCCTTTGGAGGTTTAGGGTCATGGTTTCATGAGATATTCCAGTCAATTGACCTAATAATGATTTTAGCACCTCTGTTCTACCTCCTAGTTTGTTATGTAGTTCCTGGGGTCTTAAAAGCTCGCCAGTAGCCATCCGAAGTACAATTGGTCTCTATTCACTTGGAGCAGCAGCAGCAGAAGGAGGAGGTTCAGGATTCTGAGGAGGAACAAGAATGCAGGTCTAATTGCCTCCATGAACAACTGCCTCCTTTGCCATGAGACCAGAAGAACAAGATGGTACCCAGCTACTATTACTGAACCTTTTTTTTTTAAATTAAAAGTCACAAAGGTGCTTTTTATGTCATTTAAGACACAAGAGTTTTGGTAAAGTTTATGAAGACTTACCCATAACCCTTGCCTCTAAGGAGCACTCTGGCTGTACTTCTTCTATGACAGATTTCTTCATTCTTCTGGCAGTCCAAGGTATATTAAATATTCTTCACCAACACCATAATTTGAAGGTATCAATTCTTCTTCAGCCTTCCATATTCATTGTCCAACTTTCCTACGCATTTGAGATGATTGAAAATACCATGGCTTGAATCAGGCACACCTTAGTCCCAAAGTGACATCCTTGCTTTTCAGCACTTTCCATTATTAACATTTTGATCAAAGACTCTATAGAAGATTCCTGATCAAAAGGGGGAAAATGCAGAACAGAATTTAAAAGTCTAATGGAATTCAGACTTTATAGAGCCATTGAAGATGGATGACTCCCTGAAACTATTGCCCTAAGGAAAACTTTAAACTTTAAAACTTAAGCCAAAACTAGTCCCTTAAGTCCTCTTTAAACCAAACAATAGTTTAGCTTAATTAGAAGAGAATGTCTGCCTTGAGCGTTGTGCTTTTTTAAAGAATTATCTATATGTGATCGAATTGTTAACAGCAACTCAAAAGGGTAGATGAGAAGCTTAGGGGGCAGTGAGTTTGTATTAATGATGGTAAAAGAATTTGGAAAAAGATATCAAGAAAGGTGGCACAATTTGAAAAATATAACCAATGTCACTGAATTGTACATGTAGGGACTGTTGAACTGATATATGTTTTGTTGTGTATATTTTCACCAAAAAAAAAAAAAAGAAGAAGAAGAAATAGTGGACATGTCTGGGATACCGTTAAACCTCTTCAGAGACAAGAAGCCATGTTTAACTCAATCTGTTACCACTGGTGGTCATTTAGTCCAATACCCAATGAATATTTATTGAGCACCTACTATGTGCTGGGAGCCATGGTGGCACAGTGGTTAAGAGCTCGGCTGCTAACCAAAAGATCGGCAGTTGGAATCCATCAGCTGCTCCTTGGAAACCCTATGGGGCAGTTGTACTCTGTCCTATAGGGTTGCTACGAGTCGGGACGGACTCAGCGGTGACGGGTTGTAGTACTGTGTGCTGAGGATAAATCAGTGAACAAGGCAGAAAGGGACCTGCTCTCGGGGAGTCTCCTTTCCAGAGGAAAAGGCAAATGGTAAAAACGGGAACACATACATCAGAGAATTTCAGGTATGACAAATACCAGAAAGAAAAATTAAACTGGAAGTGGAAGGTGACTTCAGCTGTGGTGGTCAGGGCAGGCCTCCATGAGGGGGTGACATTCGAGTTGAGGAGAAAAGACCAGTTGTACAAACATTCTGGGAGAAACCTGCTGGGCAAGGCCATCAGGTACAAAGGCCCTGAGGTGTGAATTCCAGACAGAAAAAAAAAAACCAAACCCATTGTGGTTGAGTCAATGCGGACTCACAGTGACCCTGTAGGACAGAGGAGAACTGCCCCATAGGGTTTCCAAGGAGTGCCTGGTGGATTCAAACTGCCAACCTTTAGGTTAGCAGCCAAACTCTTTAACCACTGCACCACCAGGGCTCCGCAAGGTGTGAACAAGCTTGACTTAGTCAAGAAAACAGTAAGGAGGCCAGTGTAGCTGGAGTAGTGTATGAGTGGGGAGGAGAGGCAGGAGACAGGGACAGAAATATGGGCAGGGGAAGATCTTGCAGGCCTTACTCGTCTTTACGGAAACACGTTTTTATTTTTCTTGGTTAAATACCGAATAGCGGAATTGCTGGATCACCGGGCGGGCGAATGTTTAACTGTAGAAGAGACCGCTCATCTGTTTTACAAAGTGCTTGTACTCTTTCACATTTCCACCAGCAGCGTATGAGAATTCCAGTTGTTCCTGCTCCCCGCTGACACTTGATAGAGTCGATCTTTTTGATTTTAGTCATCCTAATGGGTGTGTATGTATTTCACCCGGTTTCACTTTGCATTTCCTTGATAACTAACGAGGCTGAGCACTTCTCACGTGCTTATCAGCCATTTGTATCTCTTTGTGAAGTGTCCAAATCTTTTGGCCATGTTTAAAAACTTAGGTTTAAAAACCTTCCCCTGACCACCGAGGGGTGAGAGTGGAAGCAAGGACAGTAGGGACGGGCTGTGACTTCCACAGAGACGAGCGAGCTGCCCGCTCGACACAGCCTGGTTTCCGGGAAAGTCGGCTTTGGCCTTCCCCAGCTGCTTGACTCTTGGGCTGCTGCCAGGAGAGACCGAGACGCTTTAACGATCATCCACGGGGGCACTCAGCCCTGTTTCCTGGGGCCGGGCACCATGGGGCCGGGAGGAGCACCCAGTCAGCCAGGCGCCCTCCATAGCAGGCTCTGCTTTCACCCAAGCCAGGGGCCTCATCCGTCCTTGGAGCAGAGACCAGCCAGACTTGCATTCCACTGCCTGCGCCAGCCTAGTAGTACTGCTTCTTAAAATACTGAAGTCCTTCACTTCTGGTTGGTAAAGAACCTCTTCCCCACGCCCCACAAATCCCCCGCCACCGCAGTCTGTTCCCTGGGGCCCCTTGGACTTGCCCACATTCACCACTTAAAGGGGCTCCAGGACTCTGCTGCAGTCCAGCAGTCCTGGGCGTACAGGTGGTTAGACTGAGGGTCTTCCGGGGACAGCCCAGACCTGGCCGATTGGGAGGAGCAGATCAGGGGGCTGACGCTGATGGGCTGAGGGAGGATTCTGGTCAAGGTGAGCCCAGAACTGAAGACTTAATACCAACAGCGACAATAATGACGGTGATTAATATTTACTGAGCACAGACAGTATACCGGCGCTGCTGTAATATTTTATGTGAATTACCTCGCCAAGTCCTCATGATAACCTGGACCATCACAGCAGCCTGGTCTCCTTACTCCTGTCCCTGCCCACAGGGTCTGTCCCCACACACAGCAGCAGGAGCCCTCCTGGCTCAGAGCCTCCCCAAGCCTCTGCTCGCCCCTTTCCTTACTCCAGCCATGCTGAGGGTTGTGGTGGGCCCAGTGGGGCCTGCAAGGCCTGTTTGCTGTACGCTCACCTTAGACCTAAGAGGAGGGATTTGGGTTCTCTAGGGACAGGACGTGGCCAGGCTGGGGCAATGGCGGTGGTGATTAGCGGCCAGTGGTGGCTCAGCCTGAGCCTGACCCTCCTCCAGACTACAAACCCTACCCCTGCCGGCTTGCCATGCGGCATCTACCCGTGACTGGCATCCAGTTTCCCCTTTTCTGTCCTGAGCCTTGGCCCAGGGAACTGTGGGATGTGGCAAGAGGCCGGGGGAGGGGGCTTCCTGCAGCTGGCCTATCCCCGCCGTACCCGAACCTCAAGTTCCTCCTTCCCCAGTTTCAGCTCAGGCTCTCTCTGGAACTAGATCTTCCTGCTTGCTCCCAGCTGACCTCTCTTAGTCCTCACTTCCAGCCACTTCCTCGTTCAGTGGGACAGCCCAGCTGGGCCCAGGGGTCACTACATTGTCCCCCCACTCGGCTCCCCCCAAACTCCTGCGTCTGTGTGATGCGTATCTGTGTCACCGTCCGCGCCTCTCCCTCTTTCTCTGTCTGGCCACTGTCTCCTCCCCCATTTTTCTGCTTTTTTGTTTTTCTTTTCTGTGGAAGAGTCCAAAAAACTGCCTTTGGGGGCTGAGTTCCGTTTCCACCCTTATTTGCCATGTGACCTCGGGCAAGTGTCTTTACATCTCTGGAATGATAAGTCTCTACCACAGAAGTTAACTGAGGCAATAAGTGCATTAGCACTTAGGACAGAGTCTTAAATCACTTGTCCCCAAATCTAACAGCTCTGTTTTGTTTTGCCCGAATTGAATTTTGTTGTCATCATTGAGAATACACACTGATAACTCTATTTTAATATCGTAAGAACATCATAAAGTTCTGATCATCAAATAATAATTAATTATACCCATTGCCATCAGGTCGATTCCAACTCATAGCGACCCTATAGGACAGGGTAGAACTGCCCCATAAGGTCTCCAAGGAGCGGCTAAGCTTTTGGCTAGCAGCCTGAGCCCTTAGCCACGTCCCCACCAGGGCTCCCAATAATAATTGCAGCCAACACTTATGAAAGGAAAGCTGACAAGTGTCAGACCCTGTTCTAGGAACATTAATTGATTTAATCCTTACAACAATCCTATGAAGCAGATACTATTTTATTCACCATTTTACAGACGAAGAAAACCGAGACCCAGAGAGACTGAGTAACTTGCTCAAAATTGCCTAGCCAGGAAGAGGCAGAGCTGACTTAGGTCAGTGGGCCACTGACCTCCTGTTACAATGAAGCGCGGCCCCTGATCGGGGAGAGAGGTCAGGAGCTGATGATCCGTGGGCCCTTGGCCCGGCGCGTCCAGCCTTTAGGGGATGCAGCATGGTCCCTGGGGTCTCTGGGCCTGATTCTTGCTATTGTTCTCTCTCTCTGGCCCTCCTCCCATACTGTCCCCTCCTCCCTCCTGCCACCACCCACCTCAGACTTCCTACTTCACTTTGTCAGACGCAAAGCCACATCCAGTGGCCCTCAGACTGATGTCCAGCAGCGTCACCTGCAACATGGGGGGCATCAGACCCTCCCGTAGACTGCTGCTTCTGGCTTTCCTTCTGACTGCCGGTGGTGAGTTGGGGTCTTCTGCATCTGCCTCCTGCCTCAGGCTCAGCTGGGGGCAGGGCGGGGAGCAGGGCAGAAAGAGGAAACCAAAGGGGAGCGTTGGGACGGGAGCGGATCCCAGCCCCCCGAAGCCTGTGAGTCTCTCCCGAAGACTGAAACCCCAGGAATTGGCCTCAGGTGGAAGCAGGGGCAGGAGACATCCAAGGGTGTTGCAACAGGACAAGTCAGAGTAGAGGTAACACAGCCCACCAGGTCCCCTCGCCTTCTGGGTGTCAGGAACCACTCTCCCCAGCTCCTATCAATGCCACCTCGTCACAATCCCATACCTCAGCTTACCTTCTTTTTCCTCCCTCAGGTCTCAGCCCTGCCCAGGCCCAGAGTGGTAGGAATCCATACCCCGTGACCCTCCCCACCTCCCAAAGACCTCCTCCATCTCCATCCCTTCCCCCAATTTCTCCAACCCTTCAACCCTTCCTCTGCTGACTCCCCGCCCAGGTCCCTGGCCCCCACTGAGCTCCCCAACCCCTGTGCCTCAGAATGCAAGTGTGCTACCATGAGCCCTGGCGTGCTGGCTGGGATTGTGCTGGGGGACCTGCTGCTGACGCTCCTCATCGCCCTGGCGGTGTATTCTCTGGGACGGCTGGTCCCTCAGAAACGCGGGGCTGCGGAGAGTGAGTGGGGCTGGTGGGAGATGGCCTGGGAGGATGCGCCTGTGTGTGGGGGGGGTTAAGTTCCCAGAAACGACCCACCAAAGGGACAGTGCTGAGTGGGCGGATTTGGAAGCATCACAATGATCCCAATTCCTCACCTGTCCACTTTATCCTTTTTGCACCCCTTCCCCCACCAGTGAGCGGGAAACAGCGCATGAACCAGACGGAGTCGACGTACCAGGTAAGGAAGCCAGCTTTTCTTCCTCCAGTCTTCCTCCCGCCCTGAGGGTCTGTGCCCCAAAGGCCCCCTCCATCCCTCCGGGCCTCAGACTCTCACACTGCCTTCCCAATAGCTCCCCAAACCCTTGAGGGCAAATAAAAACATGGAGCATTTGTCCCAAATCTGTTTTAATGCCGACCTTATCTTCAGCTTAAAATGTGTGCGGAGGACACGTGGGGGTGAATTTGCCTTTGGAAAGGCAAGTCCAGCCTTACTCAGAAGGTAGGCTCCGAATTATTCAGGAAAAGGCCCTTCCTCGGTGGCCATGGCCCAGGAGGAGCGCTTAGGCCCTAGCTGGGCAGACTGACTTGGAGTAAGCAAACAAGATGATGGGGAGGGACCATAAAGGAAATAAAGCAGGCTGATTGATAGGCTGGGGGATGGGAGGAGGAAACCACGGTGGGGGGGGTGGGGAATAGAGGAATGCCTCCCTAAGGAGGTGACACTGAGCGGAGACCTGAAGGAAAAGAAGGAACCACCCATGGGAAGATCTAGGGGACTGATGTTCCAAGCAGAGAGAAGGGCCCGGCAAACGCCCTGAAGCTGGGGCATAACCAGGAGGCTGAAGGGAAAGAGGCACACTGAATGCACTTTAATACAGTCCAGACCTCTTCGCCGCTTTCAAGGTTGAAGACGCTGGCAGGGGCCTCCCAGGCCACTAGGAGAGGCTGGAGTTTGCTCTAAATTTATTTGGTGGACCCCTTCCACTGATGGTCTCCAACCTGTTCACCCACTGCCCTCATCCCTTTAGGAGCTCCAGGGTCCGAGGTCGGATGTCTACAGTGATCTCAACACACAGAGGCAGTATTACAGATGAGCCTAAACCACAGCAGCCGACAGCCTGACGCCTGGATCCAGTCATTCCTGATACCCACCCAGCACCCAATTCCTACCCCAGCAAGACACAGATCTGCAGAATATCCTCCTAGCGATATCAGCCCTCTCCCCATCACCAACCCCAAATAAACACGGAGCACAAAAACACTGTTCTGTTATGTCACATCCTTGGGAATGGGGATATGTGGGGTTCTTTGGAGCCCTGGTGGCCCGGTGGTTAAGCTTTTGGCAGCTAACCAAAAGGCTGGCAGTTTGAATCCACCAGGTGCTCCTTGGAAACCCTGTGGGGCAGTTCTCCACTGTCCTATAGTGTCGCTATAAGTCGGAATTGACTGAGTGGCAACGGGTTTGATTTGTTTTTTTTTTTTTTTTTTTTTGGTAAGGGGGGTTTGGACCCAGAAACAGCTAAATAGGAGGGAGGCTTTGGGGACCTTTGGGGTTCTTTGAGGAAGAATTAGAACTAGAGTTATTTCCATTGTTTTACTCCAAAATGGGGGGTGGTGTTCCTGTTCCACCACACACAGTTCAGGATCGGAGACAGACGTTGGTCCAAGGTCCCCGTTTCGGGGGGCTCAGCCCCTGACAGGCATGTTGATGTAGATTTTGTCATCTGCTGGGAGTGGCAGAGAGAAAGCATGAGGCCTGGCCCCTACCCCACGTCTCTACCTCCCTGGGGACTCTCTGCCTCAGGGGTTTCCTCAGGAGTTCCCCCAGGCACCTCCCCCAGGGTTTCCCCGGCATCTCCTCCAGGGCTTCCCCGGGGCTCCCCTCCCTCAGGGTCCCTCACTAGGGATGGCCCCCTCCATAAACCCCACCCCATCCCTGCCCTCACCTGGCATCGGTTGGTGACGTGGGCGTGCACACATGAACACCACGCCCACGGTTAGCAGCGACAGGACTGCGTCGGCGGCCACAAGGCCCACCAGGAGTGGCAAGGAGAGAGGCCCACATCCGGAACAGGGGCCTGGAGGGTGGGGGCCGAGACAAGAAGGCAGCTGAGGGGGGTTCCTGATCCCTGGGTTTGTGCTTCGGACAGGGGGCAGGCAGGGGAAGCCCTGGAGAGAGTGGGGGGGAGAGGATCCCAGATTTCCTGGGGCTGTACTTTGGGATGCAAGGGAAGATAGAGATCCAGAGAGAGGCCAGGGGTGTCCCGGACACCTGGGGCTGTGCTCTGGGCTTAGGAGGTACTCTCAGAGAGAGGCTGGGGGTTGCAGATTCCATGCGGCTGCGACTTAGTGATGAAGGGGACAACACGGGGACGCGGAGAGAGCTGTAGATCCTCTGGGGCTGATTTGGGGACGGGAGATGAGATGGTGACCTGGAGAGCGGTTTAGGGTTCCCATCCTCAGGCCACACTTAAAGGATGGAGGTGGTGCCTGAAGCACCAGGACGAAGAGGAGGGAGTGTTTCTGCCTCACCTGGGGTTGTTTGAGCTGCAGCCACTGTGGAAAGAGAGGGAAGATGGGTCAGGCGGAAAGAGGAGGATCCCAAAATAGGGTGCAGGGAAAGGTGATATCCTGAGGAGGCACCTCCACTCGGGGGAGATGGAATGGGAACCCCAAAACCAAACCCACTGCTGTCGATTCGATTCTGGCTCATAGCGACCCTATAGGACAGGGTAGAACTGCCCCATAGGGTTTCCAAGGAGCTCTTAAGCACTGTACCACCAGGGAAAGGGGGCCAGATAGAAAGGGGAGGATCTCAGAAAGGGACAGAAATTTGAAGCAGAGGCGGAGACCCAGCCATGAGAAGGGGAGATTAACAGCTACCCAGAACTAGACTCCCCTCCAGAGGACCCAGGACCTGAAGTGGAATGGATCTTCAGAAAGAGGAGGCGCACAGGGAGAAAGGCCCACCCTCAGCACCCCTCCCTTCAGTTGTCACCCAAGCCTCTCCTCTCACAAATACTCAGCCTGTCACCCCCCATAACCACTGGCTTCACCTGGGAGCAACAACAGGAGCAGGATGAGGCCCGGAGGGGGCATGGCCAGCGGGGGACTGGAGAGGTCTGACAAAGGGCTGTGGTCCAGAGAAGTCCTGAGGAGCCACGGGGGAAGAGACAGGAAGCAGTAGCGGATGTTGCCCTGCTGGCAGCAAGACTACCTGCTTCCTGTGTGTAGGGGGGTGGGTGGGCACATGGCTGGTGGAGGTGGAGGTGTCCCTGTGACTGCCTTTGGGGAGCAATCTGGGGGGGAGGGATGGAAAGACCAGGGAAGCTGCTATGATTATCCAGGTGGAGGGTGACAGGTGGGCCAGGATGGGGATGCCGCGGGGATTCTGGAAATATTTTGAAGTTAGAGCCAGTGGAACTTGTTGATGGAATGGATGTGGATGTGTATGAAAGACAAGGATCCAAGATGACCACAGCTTCTGACTTGAGCAACTGAGACAATGGAGCACGCATTGGCAGAGATGGGGGTAGTGGGTTTGGGGAAAACTCTGAGGTTTGGGCACACCGAGTTGGAAATGCCTGGTAGAGTTCTCTGTGGAGATGTTGAGTGACCACAGAAGCAACTGCAAGTTTAGGGGGATAAGTCTGGGCTGGAGATGTAAATCTGGGGAGTGATGGCTTATGGGTGGTATTGAAAGCTACGAGAAGGGATGAGATCACCCAGGAAGTGAGTACAGTCTGAGGAGAGGCCCCTCCCTCTAGGAGAAAGAGAGAAGTGGAGGACTCATCCAGGGAATGGAGAAGGTGCAGGAAGTGAGGGAGGAGGAGCAGGAGAGGCCAAGTCCTGAAAGCTGTGGAGAAATATGATCAACACAGCCAGTGCCGTGGCGGGTCACCGACATGGGAACCGAGAACCTCCCCACCCCACCCCCCCTTCCCAGCTACACAGCTCAAACCACAGCACCTGGCAAGTGTCTCACTTGTTGTTATAAATTAAATAAATGAGACCTGACCTCTGAAAAGGAGACGGTGAAGTGGGGAAGAGGGAGAAACTTGAGCCCATCTGTATGGGTGGCGCAGTGGTTAAGCATCTGGCTGCTAACCAAAAGGTCGACAGTTCGAATCGACCAGGTGCTGCTTGGAAACGCTATGGAGCAGTCCTACCCTGTTCTGTAGGGTCTCTATGAGTCGGAACCGACTTGGCGGCCACAGGTTTGGGTTTGGTATTTGGTATCACTTCTGAAGGTCCCTGGGTGGTTAAGACCATTTGCACTCGGCTGCTAGCTTGGAGGAAAGCCTGGTGGTGTAGTGGTTATGTGCTATGGCCCCTAACCAAAAGGTCAGCGGTTTGAATCCACCAGGCACTCCTTGGAAACTTTATGGGGCATTTCTACTCTGTCCTATAGGGTCGCTGTGAGTTGGAATCGACTCGACGGCGACAGATTTTCTGGTTTATCAACCTGGAGCGCACTTCTGCTCTTGTAACAGGGATGGTTGCTGTGAGTCAGAAATTCACTCAACCGCAACGGGTTTGGTTTTTCTTTTTTACATTTTTTTTAATTGTGCCTTAGATGAACATTTACAGAGCAAATTAGTCTCTCATTAAGCAATTCATACACTTATTGTTTTCTGACATTTGTTGCCAACCCTGAGACATGTCAACCGTCTCCCCTTCTGGACCTCGGGTTCCCCGTTTCCATTCGTCCAGCTTTCCTGTCCCCTCCTGCCCTCGTCCTTACCCCTGGGCTGGCGTGCCCATTTAATCTTGTATACATGGTTGAGCTCCGTGTATTATTGTTTGTTTGACGGGCCTGTCTAATTTTTGGCTGAAGGGTGAACCTCAGGAGTGACTTCAGTACTGAGTTAAAAGTGTGTCCTGGGGCTTCTTTTTTCTTAATATCACTCCTACCTACAGACTTTTTCTCCACTAAGACCAGGGAGTCCAGGCCCCCAGCCCCCTCATCCCCCAGGACCCAGGAGAACTGCCCCTCAGCCCAGGGTCTAGGAGTCAAGACTTCCAGCGCCCACTTCGACAGGGACCCAGAAGTCCAGGCCCCAGTACCCTCCTACTCCAGGAATGAGGAATCTGGTACCCCAGGCTCTATCTCCCTCAAACCACAAAGATCAGCCTCGCAACTCGGTCTTTCCCTGGAGACGCAAGAATACCGCCCTCCAGACTGGCCCCACCCATTCAGTGGCAAGGCCGGCTGCAGCGCGACGCGGGGACTCCCGGGTCTGTGGGCGGGGCCCTGCCCAGGATGGGGTGGTGCCAGACCCTAGTTTAAAAACTCGCGGGGACGGGACCCAAGAACGGGGACCCGGCGGCGGCTCCGCGGGGGAACAGCGAGGCTGGCGCAGCGCCGAGGCCGGGGCCCTGGGGCCCCGCCATCCGCGCCACGGAATCCCCGAGGTAATAGATGGGAGGGAGGTGAGGCGTGCTCTTCCCCCTAAAGGAGTGAAGGGCTGGGGATCGGACTCTTGAGTCCCTGAGGGGCGCAGCTGGAGCATCGAAGTCCCAGGTCCTGAGAGTGAGGATACTCGGTGCCTGGAGCGGACAGGGTGCTTAGACTCCTGGGTCGTTTAACAGTGGACGCGGCCGGGATTCTGGACTCCTTGGTCCTGGGGGAGTAGAGGAATGGGGATCTGGACTGCTGGGTCCTGGAGGTGGAACTGCTGGGGGCCCCGATTTCTGGGTCCCAGGGAAGAGGGGGCTGGTGGCCCGGACTCTTGCCTTTAGAAGGAGGAGCTGGGTTATTGAATCCTTGGGGGCGTGGTTGTTTGAAATCAGTCACTGATCTCTGTGGGGAAGGTCAAGCGCCTGACCGCAGGGCTCCACGCTGCCTGCGACCTCGCCCCGGGACTTCCAGGGTCCCTAGGGCTGAGCAGGAATTTCCCGTGCGCGGGGATTCCACGAGCGCCATGCTTGGCCGCGCGCCCCGCCTCCGGGCCGGACACCTGGGGACCCGAAGGGAAACGGTGGGGTGTGTGTGTGTGTGTGTGTGTGTGGAAGATTCCTTTGCGTGAGCGCTGTGACGTCAGCGCGTCGCGTCTGGGCTGTTTCCGAGGATGCCCCACCCCGCTTAACCCTTCCTTCGCCGGAACCCGGGCTCGGAAGGGTGAGGATTGGGCACCCGGACTTCCTGGGCCGAGGGGAGCACGGGCCCCAGGTGCCAGAGAGGAGGGGACTGAGGACCCGGACTGCTAGCTGGGGAGGAGGGTGCTGTGCGTCTGAGGGATGGGGGCCTGGAGTCTTGGGTCTGAAGGAGGAATTGGGTGGGGAGCCTGGGCCTCCAAATCCCTTCTGCCTCGGGGACTGTGGGCTCTTGGTTTCTCTGGGAGGGAGACTGGGAACTCGGATGCCTGGTTTCCCAGGGAACGATCAGCTGCTGGGACAGAGGGCTGTTGGGAACCTGGTTATGCGTCTGCAGGGAGACGTGCCCCGCGAACCCCTCGGTCTCGGGACTGGGAGATTTGGGGTGGATTTTTTTTTTCTTTTTTACGGAAATGACGAGGAGCGCCAAGGGGCGCCCTCCTCCCCCGTGTCTCCGTTTCCACGACGCTGGTGGAAAGTTGGGTCAGAGGGAAAGCGAGGAGCAAAGGGAAGGAAACGGCGGAGGCGGGCACCGCGCCCAAAGTCTTCGACTGGCTTTGGCGCTCCAGGAGGCTTAAATGTGCCAGTTTTTCCGCGCGGGAGGGCGCCCAGATCCGCTCCCCGGGCACTTGAGTGACTTGAGGACCTTGATGACTTCCCTCTCTCCTCCCCCGCAGTGAGCCGAAGTGAGCGCAGCCACTGCCCATCGCAGACGGTGAAGAAGCTTCTGGAGGAGCAGAGGCGCCGCCAGCAGCAGCCGGACGCCGGGGGCGCACCGGTGAGGCTCACGAAGCCCTGTGAACGGTTTTCAGAGACCATGTGGTGGCGGGCAGGGACTGGCGTGCTTGCTGGGCCCTGAGAGCTGAAGAGAGATGTAGTCCTTCCTGACTTAAAGGCCCTGTCTGTGGGGACCTGTTGATGAGGGATTGCCAGATCAATTTACGATTGTTCCTTTTTGCTTATGCCTCTGACAGGGACAGTTCCTGGCTCCCCCGGTGCAGCCCCTGACCCCGGCTGCGAGTGAGGGTGAGGCTGGTAAGTCGGAAAAGTAACCTGGTTCCCTCAAATCCCAGCCCCAGCTTCCCTCAGGAATTCAAACATACCAACTCTTAGAGCTTTGGGGAACCTAGGAGTCAGGTCCCCATTCTTGCTGGGACCCCGTAGTTTGATTCCTCAGATTCTCTGGCATCCAGTAATCTGCACACTTAGTCCCTCGGTGGCCTAGGCATCCAGGCCCCAGCCCCTCAGCACCTTGGGAGCCTCCAAGCCCTCATACAGGCCCTGCAGCTCTGACCCATGACTTCTCCAACGCCGCTAACTAGGCCTGGCCCTGCCTCTCCTCTCACACGCAGGCCACAGTCACTTCCTAGCGCCTCCAGAGAGCGTGAGTTCTGGACTTGGCGGCCTGGCCCCCCCCACAGGCCTTCCAGACTGGGACCCCAATACGCATGCCGCCTACATCGACAGCCACTACTCTTACCCAGCGTCTGCGGCTGAAGGTTTCCTGACTTCCGGCTTCTGCCCGCCTGTGGACCCAGGGCAGCTGTGCCCACTTCCCCAGGGGATGGAGGTGAGATCCAGAGTAGGGTAGGGTGCTAAAGGGCCCCTGAAAATGCATACTTCCTCTCACGTGGCATCCCGAGGTGTCCAGGGCTGGGGCAAGATCCCATTCCTCAGAAGGTTAAAACTGAGGCCCAAAGGTCCACAGTCACTTGGCACAGCTGGGACACCCAGCCCCTCAGCCGGGGCCCTGTCCCTGTCCCTGACTCTGTTCTTGCTTACGTGTGTGTGGAAGGGCAGTTTGGGAAGGAAGAAGTCTCAGCTGACTGGCTGTCCCCACACCTGTGTCCTTCAGGACCCCCTGGATACTCGACTCTATGCAGAGCCTTCCCTGCCACAGGCAGAATCCTGGAGAGTTTCTGGACTCCTCTCAGGACCCCCACAGTTGCCCCCTGTGGTCCAGGGACCATCCTTGGATGCAGCCCGTGCTCACATGCTGGCCTTGGGGCCACAACAGCTGCTGGCCCAGGATGAGGAGGGCGACACGTGAGTATGGGGCGTAGGGTCTGCAGGCTCCTGGCTAGGTTGGGGACTGTGGGGGGGGGGGCTCTGCTCACTGCTGCCCCCAACCTGTCCTTAGGCTCCTGCACCTGTTTGCGGCTCGGGGGCTACGCTGGGCAGCATACGCTGCGGCTGAGGTGCTCCAGGCGTGCAGACACCTGGACATCCGCGAACACAAGGGCAAGGTGAGGGCTGGTGGTCTGGACTGCGGGATCCTGGAGAGGAGGGGACTAGGAGCTAGGGTCCCGGGTCTGTGGAAGGAGGGAGGTTGGGGCCCGGCCTGACCTTGCCTGTGGTCTGCAGACGCCTCTTCTGGTGGCAGCTGCCGCCAACCAGCCTCTGATTGTGGAGGATCTGCTGAACCTGGGAGCGGAGCCCAACGCCACGGACCACCAGGGGCGTTCTGTCCTGCACGTGGCTGCTACCTATGGGCTCCCAGGAGTCCTCTCGGTATGGCCAGCTGGCAGGGCGGGTGTCTGGGGTGCACTGCTTGCCTCCACCCTGGTTAGAGGGACCCTTAGCCATCACCCTTCCTTCTCCCCCTCCCAGGCTGTGTTTAACTCCGGGGTCCGAGTTAACCTGGAAGCCAGAGACTTCGAGGGTAAGTCAGGTGGCAGGTGGGGCAGGCGGGGCAGGCGGTCTGGGTGCTCCAGGTGCAGGACCCTCATTGTCTCTACCACGCAGGCCTCACCCCCCTCCACACAGCCATCCTGTCCCTCAACGTTGCCATGCGCCCACCCGACCTGTGCCCCCGGGTGCTGAGTGCCCAGGCCCGAGACAGGCTGACTTGCGTCCAGATGTTGCTGCACATGGGTGCCGACCACACCAGCCAGGTGAGCTAGACCGTGGGCAGCCGGCCACTAGGAGGGCAGGTGGGTAGGGGAGCTGGATGTCCCGGGCTCCAAACAGATGCTGACTTTGCCTCTTCCCAGCTGTGTGACCACGAGCAGGTTACTTCACTTCTCTGTGCCCCAGTTGTCAGCTGGAAATAATAAGATTATTGATCTTAGCCTGTATTTATCAAGTGCTTAACTATTCATCAAGCACTGAGTTTCATGGATTAGCTTATTGAATCCTCCCAAACAACCCTTTGACATATACTGTAATTACGTTCTCTTTTACTGGTAAGGCAACTGAGGCCCACGGAGTGAAAAATCTTATTGCTTGTGAGTGTCAGAGAAGGGATTGGAACCCAGGTGGTCTGACCCCAGAACCTGGCTCTTAACAGTTATTTATCTTCCTTTTGCGTGATAGTAGCTCCTTCACAGAGAGCTGGTTGAAAAAAGGAAACGTACACTTATTATTTTAGTCAAAGAATTTTGAACACAGATAAAGTACAGAAAATAATATAAGAGCTCCACGCACCTACTGTCTGTAACCAGCAGCCCATAGGTAGTCTTACCCCGTCCACTTTTTCACTTTCCTATATAGGGTCGCCATGAGTCATAATCGACGCCCAACAAGTTTGGTTTTTTTTAGTTTTATATTATATTTATAAGGAGCCCTGACAGCGCAATGGTTAAACACTCGGCTGCTACCCAAAAGGTCAGAGGTTCAAATCCGCTAGCTGCTCCATGGGAGAAAAGACATGGCAGTCTACTCCTATGAAGATTACAATTTAGGAAACCCTATGGGGCGGTTCTACTCTGTCCTAGAGGGTCAGAATCGACTCGAGGGCACACAACAACATTGTATTTAAGCAAATGCCGGCATACAATTGTATCCATAAATAGTTACACATTTCTAAAAGATAAGAACACTTTTAACCTCAGACTCATTATTCCACCTTAAAAAAATCAACAATAATTTCATAATATCGAATACCCTGGCTACGCTTAAATTTCTGTTAGGCATTAAAGTGCCGTGCACATTTATTTTTTGCATTAAAAACAATTGGGAGCCAAATGCAGTCCACAAATTGCAGTGATAGGTCTTTTCAAATCACTCTTAATCTAGAGCTTGCCCCTCTATCTCTTTGTTTTCTCTTCCTAATTTCTTGGGTGAGCAAACTAGGTGGTTTTGCCCTCTATAGGCAGACAAATTTTTAAATTTTCATTATCATTACAAACTCTAAAGGCACATCGTGGAAAACGTCTTTATTTCCTCCAGAATATGAAGAAAACCAAACGTGTTGCCATCAAGTCGATTCTGACTCATAGTGACCCTACTGGACAGAGTAGAACTGCCCCCATAGGGTTTCCAAGGAGCGTCTGGTGGATTTGAACTGTCGACCTTTTGGTTAGCAGCTGTAGCTCTTAACCACTGCGCCACCAGGGTTTCCCAAAAATGAAGAGAACAGCTACATATTGTAGAAGACATAGGCTTGGTTAATCCATTGATCAATGCCGCTCGATTCCTGTTCTTGCAGATACAGTATGTTCCATGTGGGATAGGGGTGCATTTTACTGTGTATATGTGGGCTGTGGGGTGACCAGGGTAGCCGCTAGGCCAGCAAGTTACTTTAAAAAAAAACAAAACCTGTTCCTGTCAAGTCGATTCCGACTCATAGTGACTCTGTAGGACAGGGTAGAACTGCCCCATGGAGTTTCCAGGGAGTGGCTGGTGGATTCGAACTGCCGACCTTTTGAGAGCACCCGAGTTCTTAACCACTGCGCTACCAGGGCTCTGCAAGTTCCATTGGGAGGTTGAAAAAGATCGTTTTCTGAAAGACGCTTGGGCGGGAAAATTGTCATAATGTAGGATTCTATGATCCGTAGGCTAGGAATGGCGCCCCCTTAGATGAGGCATTCTTACGTAGCACACAGCAAACACAGCTGTATAAGGTAGCCCCGGGTGGGGCTTGCAGAGGAGGGCCGGGGTCTCTGAAGGCTCCTGGGCTGCATGGGAGGGACCCTGGGTGTGAGGCCTGGTCTGAGCTCTGCTGTGACTCCTGCAGGAGATCAAAAGCAACAAGACAGTCCTGCACCTGGCCGTGCAGGCCGCCAACCCTACCTTGGTTCAGCTGCTGCTGGAATTGCCACGGGGAGACCTGCGGGCCTTCGTCAACATGAAGGTGGGGGCCCAGCCTGGGCTGTGCAGATTGTGTGGGATATGGCAGACGGGGGCCGTAGGATGCTGGGAGGCCTGTCGGGTGTGGAGGTCGAGGGGGTGTGTGGGACATGGAAGGGGAATGTGTAGGATGTAGGCAGAGATTGGGGGAGATATAGAGGACATAGCCACAGAGGGGGTTTATGGAGCATGGGTGTGGAGGTGTGTGTGGGATGTGGATATAGAGGTCCGTGGGATGTAAATGGGGGCATTTGGGATGTGAATGTGAAGGGCGTGTGAGGGAGGAAGTGCGGGTGTTGGATGTGGCAGTTACGATATGAAGTGTGATGTTGAGGGCCAGGCCAGCCGAGTCTGAGTCCTTATCAGCATCTCCCATACTGTCCCCAGGCCCACGGGAACACAGCTCTCCACATGGCGGCCGCCCTGCCCCCTGGACCTCCCCAGGAGGCCATCGTGCGGCGCCTGCTGGCGGCTGGAGCGGACCCGACATTGCGGAACCTGGAGAACGAGCAGCCTGTCCACCTGCTGCGGCCCGGGCCGGGCCCTGAGGGGGTGAGCACTGAGCCCCCTGCTGCCGAGCGGCCTCTGACCTAACAGGGCGACCCCCTGACACTACCCATTCCTGATTTAGAGGGCAACTTCTAATCTCTTGACCCTTATCCAGCCCTGACTTCAAAATGTAGCCTCTTAACTCAGGGTTTCACCCCTGACCTTACAATAGTGACTGACTCGTAACCTCTACCCAAACCCTGAACCCTGATCAAGGTGTGACCTTTGATCTCCAAGTGTGATCAGCGACCCCCTGCCTGTCACCCTGGGTCCTCACCTCAAAGTGGGACTTAGGACTCTTAATTGTGACCTCTCACCCCTTGCTTTCACCCTTATCCCCTACTCCTCAATGCTAACCCCAAGCTGGGAAACTTCATCCCTAATTCTGGCTCCTGACCGTCCGATCCCCTTTCTCAGTGCGTGAACCCAAACCTCCACTCCCAGCCCCACATCTTGACCTCTGGCCTGTAAACCCAGCTGATCCCACCCAGCTTCTCCCCTAGCCTCCCCCCATCCCCTTGCAGCCTCCCCCATACCTCCCCTTGCAGCTTCCCCACACCTCCCCTTGCAGTCCCCCCACCTCCTCTTGCAGCCTCCCCCTCACCCCCCTCTTGCAGCCCCAGACTTCTCACCCTGCCTTGCTTTGTCCACAGCTCCGGCAGCTGTTGAAGAGGAGCCGTGTGGCACCCCCAGCCCTGTCCTCTTAGGACTCGAACCCAGACCTGGACTGATTTTCCAGTCCCCTCCGTCCCGTGGGACAGCCAGCGTATGCTAATGTTGCAAATTCATGATAATATATGGGGGATGTCCTGCCATCCAGGGTCTTACATTAAAACCCCAGAATGGCTGCTGGGGGCAAACAGTCCCCAATACTTGGGGTGGTGTGATACCCCTCCCCCACCCACAAGGAGCCCCGTAATGATTTCTGTGAAATCGAAGCCCCTTGATTGTTTCTGTGAAACACCCTGGACCCCTCACCCTTTCCCTGCTGGGATTTTTCAGCGTCTCCTCCCTAACTCAACTCTTCATCTTCACACTGTAATCCCTGATGTAATCCCCATGTACGGTACTTGGGACACCCCCAAACAGCTCCCAATACCACCCTAGTCGGATTCCTAAGATGGCCCCCAACTCTCCCCAGGACCCTCACCCTTCAGGTCCTAACCCCTGACGCATAGGAAGGACCCTCTGTGATTAGAGTCCTCTACGTCCTACTGCTTTCTGATTCAGAACTCAACTGGGCCCTTGCCCCAGACCTCAGCATTCCCAATGAGTCCCTCCCCTAATCTGAGGATCCCTTAAACTCTATTAAACTCAATTTGGACTAGAGATGCCATTGTCTAATCTCTTGGGGTATTGGTGCAGGGGAGTGGCTGTGATGCCTGGCTAAGGGGTCATGTTTGGGTGGTGACTTAGGCTGGATTTTCTAGAGAAGCAAAATCTGGGAAGTGTATGTGTGTGTGTATATATATATATATATAGAGAGAGAGAGATTTATCTAAAGAAAATGGGTTACACATTTGTAGAGGCTGGCAAGTCCCAAGTCAGTGGGTCAGGCATCAGGCTGGAGGCTTCTCCTTACTCATGTAGCTGCAGGGGCTGACGATCCAAGATTGGCAGATCAAACAGTAGGCTGCTGGCTTACAGGCTGCAGAGGCCAACGAATCTCAAGATCTGCAGGCAATACAGGAGGCTGCTGGCTCAAGTCCCAAGAACTGGAGGTCATATGATGAGCTGGCTGCAGGATCCAGAGCAAACAAAAGCCAGTGAGCTTTACTGGAACGTCCATACATATTGGACGCAGGCCACACCCCCCTAAGGAAACTCCTCTTACAACTGATTGTCTGATCTCATCAGATAACATCCTGAAGGTGATTACATTATATCACAAAATGGAGGATATCTACCAACCTACATTATTACGTAACTGCCAAACCACTGAGAATCATGGTGGAGCCAAGCTGACACACAACCTGGCAGACGCTGGATGCCAAGTCCATATCCCCTCACCCTTACGCTTTCAATGCGTGGTGGCCTGACCACCAGTACTAGCATCTGAATCTTTGCTTACGGGCATTCTCGGACCACTGGTGCCAGCTCTGCCCTAGACATGAGTGTGGTAAGCCATAAGCACCAGGGAGTTCATGCCTGCTTCCCACTCCTGCAGCACTCGACCGGTGATTGCTAGGACATGAACACCCCAGGTCCCTCGCCCCGTGGATAGGATAACTTGGAAGTGCGTGCTCTATGCCAGCTCCAATTTACCCAACAGAATTAAGCTGCCATTACCCACGGTGATTTTGGCTTGATAACATGCTCTCTATTGGCTGCTTTCCCTTCTCTGTCTCCCTTGCCCTCAAATCCTTCCCCCAGCAGGCTGCTTCTGGAGAAACCCAAAGTAAGACTGAGGGCCTCCACAAAGCCCGCCTTCTCAAATACCTGCCCCCCTCATTCCTAAGCTAATCAAAGAACTCCCGCCCCAGAAAACCCACTGACCCACCAGAGTCCCTACTGCTTAATGCCTCTAATGGACAGCAAACCCAGGTGCATCAGCACACTTCAAGACATATGCCAGCGTTCCCACCACAAAACTCCGTGGCTTAAAACAATCACCACTTACTTGCTCGTAATTCTGCAATCTAGGCTGGGCTCATCCGGGCGGTTCTGCTTTCTTGCTTTGGTCACTCGTGCAGCTGCAGTCAGCTGGAGGCTTGGCTGGGCTGGGAATGCTGGGAATTCAAGACAAGCTCATATGTCTGGCCTCAGCTGGGAGTGTGGGTAGCACAGTTGTTAAGAGCTACGGCTGCTAACTAAAAGGTCAGCAGTTCAAGTCCTGCTTGGAAATCCTATTGGGAAGTTCTACTCTGTCCTATAGGGTTGCTATGAGTCGGAATTGACTCGATGGCAACAGGGTCTTTTTTTTTTTTTTTCCTGGTAGTATATAAAATAATGGTATATAATAATGAGGATGGCGCAGGACCGGGCAGTGTTTCATTCTGTTGTACGTAGGGTCGCTACGAGTCGGAACCAACTCGATGGCACCCAACAACAACAATGACGTAAAGTAGTGGTATTTCTTATCATCGATGGCATCTTAAATTCTGTGGAAATATAAGATGTATATCCTGAGATGTCAACACTCACATACAGCACCCACAGGATAGAAAATTCCTAAGAAATTTTGCATTATTAAAAAAACTAATAAAATCCATTTTAATGGGAAAAGGAGGGTGGTTTAGGGGCACAAGAGCATCGTAAGAGCAATAGCAAAGTTATTTTTCCTGCTGGAATTTCAATATTAACAGTGTTTTTTAAAAAATTACTCTAAGTATTGCTATTAAAATGTAAGCATTATTAAGGCATCACACACTAGCATATTGAGCAAAACGGCCCTTCACTTCCCGTCTCACCTGCTTGGATTTCCTTACCCATCGTTAGCCTCTTAATCATTCTGGGTTGTGAAAACACACAAAAGCAGATTTTTCCCCTGCCTGTGGTACTAGTGATAGATTTCTGCAAGGGTGGTCCTAGCATAACTGAAGTTATAACCAGTATCAGAAAGATGGCGCAAACTGGGTTCTCCAACGAAGCTGTGACATTGTATCCAAGTTGCGTAATGAAGACTTCTTCCTCCTAACACCTACCTGGTGTATATTTAATATACTTGACCTGTATTTACATTTTTATATTATGAAAAACCACTGTGAGCTCCTGAGGTCCTTTGAGAGAATTAGAAATAGGTGCTTCTTCCACAAGTCATTTGTCAGAAAATCGTGCAGCATGCCGATGAAGTCAGAACATGGCACGTCACTGCCATCTGCGGAGAAGTTGTAGTTCAAAATGCATGTCTACCTTACCTAGTCAAAGACTACAGTCTTCAGTATGGATTATAGCTCAACCTAAAGAAAACAAAAGTTCTCTCAACTGGACCAGTAAGTGACATCATGATAAACAGAAAAAAGATTGGAGTTGTCAAGGATTTCATTTTACTTGGATCCACAATCAACACCC